ATTTTACATTGCGATCGTCGCTATGGTGTTACCATCCAATCATTCCAATTTTTATCCGGATGATAATAATAATACTAGATCCAATGATACTTTTGATTCCGGGGTAATATTTTGTTTTATTTTAATTTAATTGGTTATTTTATCATTTAAATGATACTCTAAAATGATTTTAAAATATTATTATTTTTTTTTTTTTTAGGGCAGTCCCAAATACCCCTGGGACGCATACATTCAAAATCTCATTTTGGGATGCTTCTTTTGGGGTTATATTTGCACTGAACTTCCCGGGGGAAGAATGGCTGAAGTTTTTGGAGCAAGAAGAATTTTTGGATATGCCACGATGTGCGCATCCGTTCTCACTCTTGTTACTCCCTTGGCATGTAATATTAGTTATATTGCTGTTATACTTCTTCGAGTCGTTTTGGGATTTATGTTGGTTAGTATTATGATCCGGAGTGTGCGCCTCGAGAGATGCAAAAGGTTCATCCAGTAAAAATTGGGTTGATTGGGTAAATAAAATATAAAACGATCCTCTTTATTAGACATTAGTTTTACTTTGTTTTCGGATAATTATTTTAATTAAATGAATTTAATTGATTTATTATTTGATTTATTTTAAAATGACATTTTTTTTTTTTTTTTTTTTGTTTTTTTACAGGGTGTGACGTGGCCCGCTATTCCGCCCATTTGCTCTAAATGGATTCCACCTTTAGAAAGAAGCAAATTTATGGCCAACATGATGGGTAATGTTTTTAAATCAATTTTAACGAATTTTTTTATTAAAAAAAAAAAACCTTGTCGATTTTAAATATTTTATATTTTTTATAAAATAGCATCTTCGTTGGGAGCGGCTTTGACAATGCCACTTTGCGGATTTTTAATTAGTTTTTTCGGATGGGAATCAGTTTTTTATGTTACTGGAGTTATCGGTTTTTTATGGAGCGTAGTGTGGTTTTTGGTTGTGTTTGATACACCTGCGCAACACCCGAGAATTACTGTACAAGAGAAAAATTTTATTGAAAACGCCATTGGCACAACATCTGGTCCCGGAAAGGTAAAACAAAATGATCATCAATAAAATTTTTAACAAAGGAGGAGAATAAAGGATTTTTAAAATGTACAGATAAACTCCCTTTAGGTAAAAGTTGATCCGTTAATGTTTGCCTCAACACGAGTTTAAAAATTTCGATTTTTAGTTAATTAAATGATTGAAAAATAATAAAAATCATTATTAATAATTTTTTTTTATTTTAAGAAAAAAACTCATCGTTTTTTTTTTTTTTTTTTATATTGACAAAATTTTAATTTTTTAAAGTCTTTAATGGATGTTTATCAACTTAAAAAAGTATTTACAAGATGATATATGAAAAAAAAAAAAAAAGCGAAATTGAAAATCATTCGTATCAAATCTTTTTGATTATTAAAACATGAATCAAACTTTCCATTAAATCTTGCTTTTTATTTAATTTATAGCCACATGCAGTACCTTGGAAAAATATATTGACATCTGTTCCGGTGTGGTCCATCATCATCACTCACGCGTGCAGTGTATATGGATACTTTACCGTCATAAATCAACTTCCAACGTTTACTAAATACATACTACATTATAACATCAAAGCCAACGGTTTACTTTCAAGTCTTCCGTACCTTGGCAAATATGTTTTTGCCGTGATCACAAGTTATTTAGCAGATTATTTTAGAAAAACTAATAAGTTAACAACTACGGCAACTAGAAAAATTTTCACTTCCTTTGGTGAGAAATTCCCTTTTTTTTTTTAATTTTAAAAACCACATTTATTTCATTATTGTTTTATTGTATCCCATTGACGAATGAATAATTTTTACAAAGATGATAAAAATTTTATTAACTCATTATTTTTTATGCTCAGCCGTCATAGTACCTGGATTTTTAATGATCATTCAAGTGTATTTCGGTTATGATAAAATAGCATCCATTGTTATATTCACTCTTGCGTTAACCGTCAACGGAGGAGTAACAGCCGGATATCTCAGCAACGGTTTGGACATAGCTCCTAATTATTCTGGAACAATATTCGGCTTGGCCAATACGCTGTCTTCGCTAGGAGGTTTTTTATCGACTTTGATGGTGGGAACTTTGACGCAAGACAACGTAAGTTTTAAAAATTCGACCAATATTATACCAGCAGGCATCTCAATTTAAAAAGTTTCCTTCACATTTTTTTTATTTTTTATTATGTAATATTTGTGCGAACCTAAAGTTTTTCCTCGCTACGTGAGAATATTGTTAAAGAGATTTTGGAAATTTTATTATTATTTTTTTATTTAGAGTTGAATTAACCTCATTTATTTAGTCATATTTTAAATTATTCAATTTAGGTTTTTGAAAAGTATTTACGGTTATGATAATTAGGAAGCCGACTTTGGCAACGAAAAAAAAATTTAATTTTTACATTAATGGCTATCTATTTAAAATTTTCAGCCTCATTATTTTGTCTGTGTAAAAGTTAGTGAGAGATAGAGAGAAAAAAAAAAAACAATCGCCGAATTTTTAAAATTTTTTGATGCCGCTGTCAATAATTTTTTTTTTTTTTAAATTTTTTTAGCAAACGTATCAACAATGGCAAATAGTTTTCTGGATTTTATCAGGAACTTATTTTTTTGGTGGTGTAGTTTTTTTAATTTGGGGAACAGGAGAACTACAGGATTGGAATTCGCCAAAAGAAAAATCTCTTCCTCTGGATTCAATTAATTCTCACGAAACAAAGCCGTTGAAAAATGATATTAACGAGTGACAAATTTTGTTCCCTTTCAAATTTTTGTTTTTAGTACATTTAGATAATTGTTAATTTTTTTTTTTTTTTTTTTTTTTTTACTACAGTAATTATCTATCTTAAATTTAATGGTTATTGAATTGACATCAAATTATTAAAATTAATTTTGAAAATTTTTTTCAGGATTTTTTAAATTGACAAAGAAAAAGCGTTTATTTGTTATTCTCTCGTTTACTTTTGGCATTCATAATTTTCTTTTTTTAATTTTTGTTCAATAAAAAAAAAAAAAATTTTTTTTTTTTATGAATTTTACTGTCATCATCATCATCATCGAAGAGTTACGTTAACTTAAAATCATTTGTACGAGAAAAAAAAAAAAAAAATTCTAGAGAATTAGGAAGCAGGTAGGATTTGCGTATAGAAACGCAAAGGTTTTGCCGGCAAGTAATACTTTACAGACATGAAGATACTTGTAATTTATTATCACTCAGCCTGAATTTATCAAAACTTTTGCAAAAAAAAAAAAAAAATGGACATTGGTAACGTTGTTTTTTTTAAAATTTAAACGTAAGAAATGTACGGTACGACAGAGACAAGATTAAATTTAACAAGAAAAAATAAATAATTTACCATTTGTAATGAATTTAGAAAAAATAAAACGCAAGAAACTCCCACGCCCTTTCCCCCCTCCCTCCCATATAAAGGCATTGGTGCTCGAAATAAATTAAAAAGTAATTTTTAAAAAAATTTTCAATCTTGACGAAAGCCAAATGGTTGACTGTTGATAACTCGGTCTATGCCTGTCCATTCAAATCGGTCACACATGAATATTTAAAAAGGCTCAATAAAAAAGCTGTCAGAGGGAGAACTCATTGGTGTATTCGTACCTCGAGATCGATTACCACATACCTTACCTTACAAACGAGTAGGTCACAAACAATAAATAATAAACAAATTGTTTTTTTCTTAGATCTATCTTACATTCGATCGGGGAACATAAAAATCCGATTATATCACGTAATTAAGTATTCATAATTAATGAGGAATTTATGTCGATGCGACATATTACGCGCTCGCAACATAAAACATGTATTTTTTTATTTTTTTTGAATTTAATATTGTTTCCTTTAAATAATAAGTGAAAGTTTTACGTTTCCCATTTTAATATTTTATAGTTTGTTTATATATTTATTGTTATATTCCAATCCCTAATTTATAGAAAGCGAACCTTTCAACAAACGATCCTCATCTCGTCGTGTTCCGAAAAAAGTCAAGCAAAGAAAAATAAATCAAAAAACAACATCACACAGGTACATAACAATATAAAATATTATTCATGATCGTTTTTCATGTATGATTTTATTATCTGATATTGCGAAACGAAAAAAAAAAAAAAAAAACCGATCCATCGATCGAACCGTATTTAAGAAATTTTTTATTTTCACCTCGTGTTTAAAGTTGAATACATTTTGATTATACCAAAACGACCGATAAATGGCAAATGGTGCAGAGGCGGAACTAAACAAGTTATATCCATTTTTGTATAAAAGTGGGTGCAATTTGGTAAAGTTTCGGGTTATGTTACTGTTAAGTCAATGGTTGGTTATTTGCTTTATTTCCCATCGTACGTCATTGATTTTTTTTTTTTTTTTCATTAAAAAATAATTTCATTTGATATTAAAATTTCTATTTTAAAAATAATAAAAAACCGGTTGAGTGAGCCTTGGAACCTTATTTGGATTTTCTTTGTTTGACGACCGTGCATTTCATTTGTAATGATTTGTATTAATTCAAAAAAAATTTTTTCAAAGTATTATTTCATTAATGAATGAATAGTGAATGTTTATTATATTGGTTTGTATCAGTGATGATATTTTCGAAAGTTTAAACGCCAAAAGGTTGCAATTGTTAAATATTGACGAATACTTGAGCGTGTCTGTGTGTGTAGTTTTTAATTAATATAGTGAATGAACAAACGGTCAGGAAAAAAAAAAAGTTATGGAATACTCAAAAGGAATATAAAAACATTTTAAGTCGAAATATTGAGAATTATTATTGAACTTGTGAGAAATAAAAATGTATTGCAGTAGATTTTTTTCAAAATTTCATTCGTCTTATTTAATTGTACTAAATTTTGAAAACATTTTGAGTTTTCACTCGTTTACTTTGAATTCTTTACTTTGATTTAAAAAAATGTATAAATGTTGACAGAAGTAACTGCGTATCTGTTCCAGTAACGATTTTTTAATGAGAAGCTAAGGAGCAACCAAAAAAGAAATCACTTCGTACGATATATCTATATATATATAAAACGTCAAATTTATGCTTCGGAATATTTGAATTAAAAAAGAAGAAAATTAAAAGGACCGAAGTAAAACGAAACCCGCAACACTTGTGTTTTGTAATCTTAGAAATGAGGTAATCCGATATTAATTTCTTTTTTTTTATCTGCTAAATAGCAAAAAAAAAAAAGAAAAATTTTTAATTTAAAAATAATTTGACCAGCTGGGGAAAAAAAAAAATGACGCAGCAGAATATAGTAAATCATTTACATTTTCCATTGATAAATGGTGGATATTTGTACTTTTAAACTTTTAATGAAGCGTTAAAAAAAAACAAAAAGTTAATGTTGATATAATCGTGTTTAAGAATTTTTTTTTTTTTGTGAATATTTAAAAAAAAAAAAAAAAAAAATGAGAGAAATCTTTATTGCGGATTCTTGTAGTAATAACAGAAATTTTTCCTACGTTGTAAACAATACGTCATTCAACGAACATATTAGAAATGATGGTAAGTAAGTTTCCCTGATTAATAACAAATAAAACTATGATTTAACATCAGGTACTTATAAATTTATTTTTATTTTTTTCCGGGGGAAATGACGTAAAGGAAAATTCAAATTTAATAATAATGATAGTTACGATAGATTTTTAAAGGAAACTGCAGAAGAAGCTCACATTGTGACAAATTATTTAAATCAATCAAGAAGTCGCGAAGCAGCCAGAAATCTTCTCTTACATCGTCAATACAATCAATTACCACCGGAGAAAAAAAAAGATAAAATCGAACAGAGTTTTTCTAAAATTAAAAAGAAAGATTTTCAAAAAAGGAAAAAACCTTCTTCCTTTCAATTTAATAAAAATTCAATTGAAAATTTTAACATTCAAAATACCGATGAGAAAAAAAAAAATGGAAAACATAATTCAAATTCAAGGTATCCGTTTAAATCGCACGCAACTACGACAAACGTTTCACTATTTATTTGTTTGTTTGTTTGTTTTTTTTTATCCTTTTGATCGTGTAAAAAAAAATTAATTTTTTTTTTTTTTTTTTAGAATTCAATGGTTGTGGAAAAAAAATTTTTTTTCAATTTCCAGTGATGGACGTAAAAATGATTTGAATGCGGATTCCGAACTCGTCCATAGCGTGAGTAAAAATAAATTTTTCTTCTTTTTTTCTAGTTTTTGAATTTAAAAAAAAAAAAAAATATTATTTAAAATAATAATCGATAATGTTGATGATATTAATTAATTCCTAAAGATAGTAGAGTTTTTGTTTTATTTTACAATCAATGAAGAAAATTGATAATAAATTATTTGTAAAACAATCGTTTCTTGTTCCGAATCGTAGGTTTATTGTTTATAATATTGTATTACATCCACCGGAAATCGTATGAGATAGTGTAAGATTATTTTTTATTCTATAAACAATTTGATAAAAATTAATCCCTTAAAATAGATTACTTATGCTTTTTCTTTATAAATGACATATTTTTTTAATTTATCACTTTTTTTGAAATATATTTATTTATTTAATACGGGAAGTCAGGCAAAAACAATAATTTTTATAAATTTTAATTGATTTTCACCGAACAAAACAAAAGCAAGAGCAATAAATTGTATATCATTTTAATTACATAACGTGATGATTGTTATTAATTTTTTTTTTTTTTTCAGGGTGGTTTAAAGCTAAAAATAAAAAATGATTTGCATTTGAAAGAAAATAAAAATTTTTTACCTAATCCAGGAATAGGTATAAAAGTTTTATTTTTTGACGAAAAAAATTTTCATTTTCAATTTTTGTCCTCTTCTTTGATTTTTCAAAAAGAACCAACGAAAAAAAATCACAAAAAAGTCACGTCCAATAATTGTGCCGATTCCTTAAAGTGAGTAGAACTATTTTTTTTTTGAAATCATTCATACGATTATTTATTTTTAAAAGTTTTCTCTACGGTGCGTGCGTGCGTGCGTGCGTGTTTTTACTATTTTCCGTTAACAGAAATTCAAATGTTTTACATTCAAAGCTTCAGTAAATGTTTCGCGGCGACCTTAAAATGTAGTTTAATTAAGTTCAAGTGCAATGTTTTTTTTACTGGAAAAGTGAAAATTATTACAAATATATTATATTGGGAGAAAAAAAAAAAACAAAATAAAAATTTTTTGGATGGTTGCAATCATCGAATTTCATCATTTTTTCAAATATTTTCTT